ACCCCCTGTCCACCCTCAACCTTGCCTATTCAAATTCAGCCTTCCCTTACCCGCGGGTAACACGTAAGGCCCCGTGAAAGTTATTCACGGATAAGTTAATATCTCAGGAACCTCGGAGTCTAGGAGGCTGAAATTTAAGAAATAATGACCCCCTGCCCACGCTCAACCTTGCCCATTTAAATTCAGCGTTCTCGCGCTCTCGGTTACCACCTACCTCGTGAAAATTTTGACGGATAAATTATTAACTCGGGAATCACGGAAAGATATTCATCCTTCACGGTTTCGAATCCAACTCATACGCTGGTGCGTGAAATTTTTAACTGTTTTTCAATGTTTGAACTATTTTTGCATAGATTAAAGTACAAAAAAGTGAAAATCGTTAACAGGGTGAATTGCACAAAACGCATGATCGCACCGGCTAGTCTGGTGCGCGTTGCCATTTATTTCATTTGTTTTTGTAGATAAATTGGTACTAGCATATGCCAGGAAACTTGCCATTTGCTTGCTTCTAAGCAGTCCTTGGGAAAAGACCACTGGACAGTTTTGCCTGTGGGTAGTTTTTTTCGGACGTTCTCTACCACTTGGGTTACTTCTGATTGACGGACCAAGGGGGGAGGTTTGTTACGGAACGGGGCGTCCGAGGAGAAGGATTGGGAGGCTGGGGCTTCCGAGGTAGTGACGAACGACGGGGAGGGAGGAAGAAAAATCGCCCCAGAAGTCCGCCCTGGATCCGCCTCTGGTACCTCTGATTGCCCCCGTTTCTCATAAATAGTTGAAAATACATGAAGTTTTGATTTTTGACCTATAACGATCAGCTGGATTTACTTACAGACAATCTTCGAGTGCATAATTTTTTGGGATTTGTTGATGAACAAAATACTTTCCCGCATTCACATCGCGCATTCCTGTACACACATTTCATATTTGTTTTTAGTTACGACGAGAAGACGGGCGAGGTTTGTTTCATTTTTTTTTTTTTTCATTTTACCAACACAAAAAAACTTAGTCGTGGTTGCTCTTTCGCTTCACCCCCTCCAATCCCCCTCTCCTCCGCTTCTTGTCCCCTTCCCCGCTCCCCAGCGACGCAAGCACCAGTGCTGCAAAAGCCCGGATCTAAAGCTAAAACTAAAGCCTAAAGTAACTCTAAGTAGCGGTGTTATAACTCTATTCCTAATTTTTGCATTGTTCCAAGTAGGAGGGGACTCTCCTCCCCACTCCCCGC